CCTCTGACCCGAGCGGCGGGGAGCCGGGGGTTTGGCGTGGGTTTGGGGGGTTTTGGGGTTTTTTTGCACGAGCTGAACCCACCTGCGTTACTGCAGCTGCGGTCAGTTGGTAATCAGGGGGAGTGATGCCCCGCTGAAGCCTCACACAGCTGGGTTAAGCAAATGCTGATTAAACCTCCAACATTCCAGGAAGAGTTAAAACCCATTTAAAGCTATTTAAATGCTTTCACCTTAGCATTCACAGATCTTTTCAGCAAAAAGGCAAAAAAAAGCTGTTTTTTACCTAACCCACCAGTGATGCCAGACACAGCAAGGCCCCTGGCCATCTGCAGGGCTCTGAACCACCCCAGGAAGGAACAAACTGCCGACACCTGCCTGCAACAAGCACCACGAAACAAATGCATGCTTTCTTGCTATGTTTGCATAGCTCTAAAACTGCAGTCCTGCAGAAATGTGTCTGCTTTAAACGTAAACACACCTTAGCGTGCCATCATGCCTCCCCAAGTTAATGCCTGCAGACCTAGGGGGGTTCCCTGGTTTGCTCATCCCCAGGGACACACACTGCAGCGATGACCCATGTAGCATTAACCCTGCCCAAACGGAGGAACAGCAGCCCTCAGTTTAGACAAACACCCTGCATAGTGAGAAACCTTTTTTTAGTGTAGTTTTACTGACTTCTATCAAGGCAAAAGTCTATTAGTTTTGTTTGGCAAAATTCACAAGTACTATCTAAATCAAGAAGTTTCACAGGAATAATTAAGTTGGACGGAACCTGTCCCGTAATAGAAAAGTTATTTGCTCTTTGGTCAAAAATTTCAATTAGAAAATGCTTCAACAGAAGAAAAAATACCTTACCATGATCAGAGTTTTGACAACTAAAATGCAACCAATGTATTTTATAATTAGATATGACTACTCATGCTTTGTACCTATTAGCCATTTCACTCCCACAGTGAAATAAAAATAAAGTCCAGAATGTTCAAGATCCTAGAGATGTGGTATTTCTTTATTTTAAAACACTATGCAGTTTAAATACCAAGATTGATCTGTTCTGGAAAAACCTCCCCCTCCCTCCCAAGGCAAGCCCAATACCGTCACCTTCCCTGCTGACTACCTGTTCGCCCCAGACTGGACCGGGGGGACCGGCCATCCAAAGGTGAGAAGCCAACTTCTTCGCTGCCCTTCACCAGTCACTAAGGTCTCAGCAAGTTGATAGAATCTGGTCTGCGGCAAGCCAGTGCCTTTGGATATCCAAAGGGAAGCTGTTCTGCCCACCCAACGGCTTCTTCCATCCTCAAAAACAACCATCTTTACTCGCTGTGTCTTAAGCATATTTGCTAAGATGAGTGTGTGCAGAGCAGAAAAGGAATTTGAAGAGAAATACACTGTGGTTCAATACGATGAACAATACCCCAGCTACTATCCTGTGCTACGGAGGTATCACTTAACCAAGCCACCAAGTTAGTCCACATTTATTTCATTGACTGTGTGCTGTAGGCCACCTGCTCTATCAGGAGCTAAGGCATCTTTCTTTTTTTAAATAAAGCTAAAGCCTCAGTCTAAAACCCCTTGATTTCTCAGCCTGTCTAACATATGCTGGATGGCAGATCATGTCAGAAGAAGCCTGTAGCCCATCTGTTGCCAGATAGCTGAGTCTTTACATTCTGCCAACGCAGCTTCAGCTGACAGTGTGCTACTTTATGTATTTTTCTTTTCTATGGCGAGTAGAAGGACCGTCCAGCTCAGTATGACTCTCAAACTAGCCCTACTAACTTAACACATGGCTAAGAACCACCCCATTAGTAAAGATTTGCGAGGCAAGGTATCATCAGTTAAAAGATGATTGCCCATTGATGAATACATGATATAACACAAATCTATTTGCCCAAATACTGGATTTTGATTAGGAATATAACTATGTAGAGCTTGAATATCAATATAAAAGTATCTCAAGAGGGCTTGTAAGTCAGTGGCCGGCTGGCATACAAATATATCCATATACTCTAAAACATTTTCTACAAAATAAATTATTATTACCTTTAAACTGGAGAACAACCTAGGCTCATTAGGTGTGGCAGAAAAGACAGTTTAAAGAGCAAAACTTGCTCTGCAGTTCACTTGGGCTACATCGTGCATTACAGCAGGGGAAAGCAGGCTACCGTTGACCACAGTAAGAAGGGGACTTCAGTGTTACCATCAGGACTCGTTTAAATCATTCTGATTCTGCAGAATTAGGAAGGAGAGACATTTTTAAGACAATAAATGCTATGTCCAGGTAAACCTTATTTATTGCACAATGACACTACCAGCTCAGATTAATTAATCAGCTGAATCAGTCGTGATGAAACTGGGATATTTCCAAGGAAGAAGGCAGCACTGATTGCATTTCACTTTCTAAGCAAAACTCCTCTGAGTCAGTTGTGACTAAGGCACTGATTCAGTAAAGCAAATAATTATTTAGTCTGTATTTTAAGATCAGTTAGATGATTTTGTTTAGTTAGATGACTACGTGGTTTGAACTGGCAGTTTAGTGGTTGAGGATACAGATAGTATGGGTACTCCACCTGTGGTGGAGACAGCAAAATGAAATTCTGATCCACTGATGTTCCATTGGCACTCGTATGGCAAATACAACCCCCTCTCAAATACCTTTTGTTTCACAAAACTAAATTTGATTTAAATTGCCCAGTGTGAGACCTGCTGTGCACCAGTCCCATTTGCTGTTAAACAATAGCTATGCAGTTTGCCAGAGGTAACGGCATTTCACAAGCTGACAGAGATTCTCACTTTATCTGAAATGCCACATGCCATTATTTCAGAGAAATCAGAGAACTAACTTCAGCACCTTCATTTTTACCACCTATCTCCCTCCTACTCTCTGACCTGCTTCTCAAGCTCCAAAAAACCATTGATTTTTATTTTATTAGTAAGCAACAAAACTGGAACAAATGGCTTCTGGCAGAACATGCTTTCCGTTACAGCTGAAAAACTATCGGACTGATGTCCTTGAAATGCACAGTGTGACTAATACCCAGCTTGCAAGGACCCAGGAGGACACATTTATTGCATTTGTCAGAATGGAGCTGAGCAGCCAGAAATGAAAAGATAAGGTGACAGGTAAAAATGAATGCCTTTGCTTGCTACTTAAAGGAAGCCAGTGCGTGCCATAAATACAGAGAGAAGCGAGACATGCTCAGTTAAGTCAGCAGCAGATCTGGATCTGATTGTTAGAGCTCAGGATCATAAATGATTTTGAATACACATGGAATATGTACCGTTACTTCTAGATACTAGACTTGGACCCTTGTTCTGAAGGGGAGTATGGGGAAAAGGTCCAAACTTCAAATAGTCTAGAACTGGGTTGAGGAAATGGTCCAGTCTTTAAATATAAAGAGACTAGAATTGGGTGTGGGCTTATTTTCGTCTCAGTACAATTAATGTCTGCATACTAGTTTGTTTCCAGATGATGATTGCTTTTAATGGGAAATTAGAACTCACAGCCTAGCTTTATCTCCTCTACTGAGCATTTGGTTTATCACAGCTGCCCTGAAACCAGTTCTGAAAGGGGACCAATTGCCATAGAGACTATGCAGTAAAGTAATTAAGCTCATGAGAGAGTTGCATGCACAGCCAAGCAAAATATTAGATGAAGGCAACAACAGACCAGTTTCTGAGAAGCTGTGTTACAGCTCCTCCGATTCCCACTAGAGAAGGCAATAGGGGAATCCCAAATTATTTTAGGAATTTGAATTCTAGTATTTGTTGGTTCTGATATGGCTTTATCAGTCTATGCCAAGCAGGAAGAATGAACAATAATGACACTAAGAAAAAGATAATTCAAGGTGAATATAAAAAAATTAATTCTTCACAATGAGATCTATGAAACCACAGAGTACTCTTGTAAGGCAACAGGCAGAAGTGGCATCTTTTGGGTCATTCAAAAGAAAACTCCACAACAAAATGCTAGATCAATGCCCCTACCAGCCTGAAGAGAAGACATACATAGATGACCTGTTACATCTTTTCTAGCCTTGCTGGCCCTAATATACACAGTTGCAATCCTCTGAACCTAAAGAGGCATAAAATTCTTGTGGCTTTAGATTCGGTGGATGAAGATTTTTTTTTTTTTTTTTAATGCTTTGGAACCTGACTGTATATATTAGAGGAGAAGGAATTACAGGACTGGTTTTCCCCACACTTGAAAATTTCCAGAACTGCTTTGATCATGCGTGAGAATTGATTTAGGGGATGCAAATGAAGGCCTTGGCAATCTGAAGAAGAAAATCTTCTCCCCTGACATTTCTGAACGTTCAGAGAATTCTCAACAAGCCATTGAAGTATGGGTTCATCAGACAGACAAAAAGAAAATTCAATAAGCAAAGAAGTACATAAAAACAACTAGCTTCCTCACAAGAAAACCAGCAGCATTAGCAATCTTTCTACCTTGCTTAATCCTTTTTTTTTTCCTGTTTAGACTTACCTTCTATTGCAGAATGTGCATCTAGAAACATGAAAGCAGTGAAGGAAAGATGCAAGTCTTTCCTTACAAAGAGAGACTGAATATTCTGCAACATCGTTATAATATTTTACAACTCATTAGCACCTTCCATCCTAGGATCTCCAAGCATTTTACAAGCGTTAATTAATGCACTCTCACAATACTTCTGCAAAGTAGAAAGGCAGGTGTCTAGATATTGTGATGACAGGTGCATTACAATTGAAGACAGAACTTCTAGGCTTTTCATTTGCATATTTAGGAAAGCAGAACACAGAGAGGGTAGGTAAAATTAAAAAGTACTGCAATACCTTGAAATACCTTGAATTAAGAAATACTGTAATACCTTGAAATACCTTGAACAGATTGGCTTTCAAGCGCTTAGCTAAAAAGCAATACTTATGGACCTCAATAAAATTTAGGCTTTATTAATGTAAGTCTTCGCACCTAATACCACAATGGCTATCTGAAGGTGTGTTATATAAATAGAAGTGGAGTCTGAATGAAACTGGACCTGTTTCTTAAAAGTTTATTTCCTTACTTGAAGGGGTACTGAGGTCTCCTAAGTCCCTGAAACCACTGTGGCCTCTGAAGAGCACTAAATAAGTTATTTGTAAAGCTCAGCAAGACACCACTAAAGACAAAGAGGGAGAGAGTACAGAAAGTGAAATAGCATCAGTAATAAATTATTTTACTAATCATCCTCTAACTTAATAAGAATTACAGTCAGGTGCTCTGGATGAGCCTTTCTACAGTGTGTGTCCACAAAAAACAAGGACTCCAGTGGTTCTACGTGGTTTCTTCATGTACTGTACTAACCTGTTCTGAAGAGCAGCACAGTGGGCCATGCCCACATTAACAACTGCTTTAACTCCCTAATTTATATAGAAAACTGAACTAGTGATTTATGCTGTGGGGAGGGGGCAAAAAAGAAGGAAAAAAAAAAAAAAAGTGAAGAATTGCAGGGTTTCTTTCCAGTTCTAGCACAAATGTCCCTTTGGGTCAGTGACTAACTCTTACCCTACCTATTTCCTTATCTGACAACATAACACAGTAACATACCATGCATAAAAGGATGGATGGATAAACCAACTCAAATATTTGCACCAGGTACTGGTGACAATGTTTAAATTACTCAGCTTACAGATTTTTTGTATTCTTTAGGATCGTGGTATTCAGCGAACATCTGGTCATACAATGAGGTTTTCCTCTTATCTCTGCCTGCCTTCCTGCAAGGAAGAAGGGCCATGTGCATGAGTATTCCCCTCCCTAAGAGCCATATGGGAATGTAAAGGCATTCTCTGAATTCATTACCCTGCCCCACAATATGATTCCGTCTTTGTACGGGCAAGAAAATGGATGTTAATTTATTCCTTATTGCTAATTTGAAAAGGAGCACAAACACAACAGTTCCATTGCAGAGACTTCTACCAAGGGTGTAGTTTAAGTCCAATTATGTACTATTAGTACATTTGCTCTTTGTTCCTGTGGCACATTAATTACATGTCTGGTATTCTGATAATTAACACAATTACACTCTTTATTTTCCCCTTTCGTTAGACAATATTCTTGCATTTTATTCAGATAAGTAATTTTCTGTGGGTAAAAGGAGCCAAACTATTACATATTAATAAAATCAAGCAATGGGTTTTTAAGGGAGCTTATACAGAGAAGTTCCAGCAGTGTTCTTCAGCAAAAAGAAAAGCAGATGCTCTCCTCTTGGGCGGCAGTCTGAGAGACTTCTAAAAGGAAACCAAATTACAAGCCTCCAGTTGTGTATCCAGCATTGTAATCACTGGCTGAAGCAGCAGGGCCGTAAGGGCTACTCTAGTACTGCCACACAGAGCTCCTCCAGCAATGTCATCACCGCTGCTCCAAGGCTGTCACCAAGGTCTTTAATCTCCCACTAACATCCATGAAACTCATTGCCATTTAGCAAAAAAAGTTACAAAGGGTCAGCCAAGATGGTTTACAATTGCACAGATCATCCACAAATGAACACTTACCAGATATTCCAAAGAAATATTAAGGAACAAACCAAAACAAGCATCCTTACTACTATAAGACAGGAAGGTGGGTAGATTTGACTAAATTAAGTAGGTATAGATGTACTCCACAAACACCTCAAAGATTTGTTGTTGTTTTTTTTTTTTTCCTCCAGGAGAAATTATTGTTCCTCTGAAAACAAGTTAGTGTTTCTCTACAGTTTTCTCTAAAAGCATATCTGAATCTCCACTAGGTCTCATATGCTGCTATGGTTAAAAAAGCTGCACTGTGGAAGGAAAGATATCCAATGGTTTCCTTCTGTAAGTGGTTGTTTGGGAAAGGAGGAAAAGAAGGCGCAAACTACATCGTCTTCCTGCAACAGGGTAGAAACTTAGTAGAAGGTTGTTCAGCACTCTGCCCCCCAAATCCCTTGTGTCCAGGTCTCCAGCGGGTCTGGCTGCGTGTGCGCGCAGGGAACAGGGGTGTCCCCCAACAAGATCAGTGTCACTCGCTCCTTCCCCCCCTCCCCTGGCAAATATTAGTGTTGAAAAAGCTTGCTCTGCCTTTCCTGAAAACACCATCTGGAATATATTTTATTTTGAATGGTTGACTAGTAGACCAGGACTATCTAAGGGCTCTCTGAAGACAGTTTTTAAAAATTTTTATTATTTTCTATGAAGTCCAAAAAACCACAACAACCCCCCCAAAACTGATCTTAGTACTGACCCTATTCAGTGAGTACAGAGCTCTCGTCCTAAGTATTTGCAAAGGTAAGATCTTGAGGCAGGACAGGGCTCCTGTGTTCTCTTCCTGATGACACCACTGACATCCTACCCCCAGACAAGTCCCTTAATCTCTCCATGCCTCATTTATCCTCTCCATTTAACACAACTTGTCTGTTCCACAGGGAGGTAGGAAGACTTCATTAACTGTCTGTAAAGTACTTCAAGATCCTAGGATGAAAGCCTCTCCAGAAATTCAGAGTATTATTTTTGTTAAAAAGGCAGGGTTCATAAATTCCCTGCTATTAAATAACCATATATATCATAAACAGCCAGTCTCACTTTTCAAACAAATCTTGAGATGCACAAAATCTGATACTATTTTAAATACACTATGCAATAAGAAATATTCAGAACCAAGAATATTACTCAAGAGCACAAACATGTTACCATGATCCCTACCTGACTGTTCACTGACTTTCAGTCAATGTCCAGATTTATCTCTATTTTCTTGAGAATGCATTTTGAGTAAAGATTGTAAACTCTTAACGCTACAGCCTAGAAGAAAGCTATCATGTTTAACTTTTTTTCTGGTATTCATGGCCTCGTTATTAAACTGTATTAAAAAAAAATTACAGAGATACAGACTGCAAAGCTGCTTTTGTCTTTCCTGCCTAAACACAGGTTTTTTTTCCTGAAAACGTGCAACACTTCTTAGAGCAATCACTCATTGGCATCAAATGTTTAGTCTTCAGACTTGTGCTTGAAGTAGCTTTAGAACCTACATAGGGCATGGAGAACTGGGAACAGTGGAATGCCAAAAAACCCAGATTATTCAATATTTGATTCTGTCTTCAGTACTACTCCTTCCCAGTTCTTGTAACAATCTAGGAAGCTGAAGTTATACTACTATGCTAACCATATTCACACGAGAGAAGAAAACTTGCATCTCCTCCTTTCCTTTGAGTGCTATTAGCAGACCAAATCTAATAATAACGAAGACAAGCAGGCACACCACCGCTACAGGGCAGACAATCAGCACTGGTCTTCCCATTGTCAAAACTCATTCTAGTGACATTCTCATGAGGGACGCTGGAAGAAAGGTCAGCACAGAAACTAGTTTATGAAAGACATCGGAAAGAAGCTGTTAGGGTTAATTGTAGGCTGTTCATAGGTAAATGAAATAAAACTATCCTGCAGCAACTGAGAGACTCAAAAACCAGATGGCTCAAAAGACAGAGCGTCAGAACTCATTCTTCTTCTTCACCCCACATTGCCCAGATTTTCTCCAGAGCTCAGTCTTTTAAAAACAGGGCATTTTTAAACATTTGCCCACCTACATCTTTTAATAATGGTCTTAAAAAAAATAAAGGTCATTATGTTCATTAACTGTCTATACAGAAAGCATTTAGAGTAAAGGCTTTTTATTGCCCATGCAATTCTATTTACCAGATTTACACTAAGATCCTGCTGTGCAACGCGTGTCATGCAATAGGCCCATAAAAAGAATCACGTTATGTCTATCTGAGGCTGGCTTGCTGGGTCAGAGTTTCAGGCAGAGGGATTGATTTAATGGCATAAGAACCTACATTCAAATTCCCAACCCACTGGAAACAGTTTTGAATTCTCACAAGCTTAACTCTGTTGTTTATCCTTGGGTAACATACAAATATCAGACTACTAAGGTTAATTCATAGGTCACCCAGCTTGTATATGCTTTAACTACCGGAGTCCTATCAGCTGTGATTGGACTTTAAAAACAGCTGTCCACAGTTTTCTTCACAAGCATGCACAAGGCTCCCTGGTCAAACTACCCCCTTCTTCCCCTTAACTGTGCAGCGTGCTGAACGGATGCTCAGTGAGACGGTGTAATAGGTGCCCATGCTGCAGCCAGGGTCCTAAGAACAAGTCCCTCTGTCTGCACAGACCCCAGTTAAATTAGTTGGTATCAGTCAATTGATTGCCAGGATCTGGACCATGGATTAAGTTTCCCAGATCTCCCTGGATCTTGAAGGTGTAATTTGAATTTTCATCATGCAATATTAGATTTCGTATCATTACATGCAAGCGCCTCCTACTCCTGAGAACAGAGCGAACTGCACAGTGCTGTACACGGGCCCAGTCTTGCTGTCTCTAAAGCTGATGTGAACACTATTATTTAGATACGGAAAAATGGGTAAACAGTTCTTCTGAGACAGAGTTCTAGTTGCCATATTTTCCACATCACATAGGTTTTCTAAAGACAACAAAAATAAGCTAAAAGCATGCCATTGTTTGTCTTGCAATTGCCTTCAAGCAAACTGCCACTCTTCCTCTACTTGCAGTATCTGACATGAACTCCTCTCCACTCCGGGCCTGCTCAAATTCATCA